TATCACGAATTGGCAATTTAATAATTTGCATGTGACTTTAACAAAACACGTGACTTTAAATCTTATGATATAATTCTGACTAATAAAATCGCGATTTATATATGGAAATGATCAATATAAATTTCAGCAGTGACTTAGTCATTTGATGTGACTAAACTGTTTGCATTATATGGGTTAGTACGTACAAAAATCAGGTTTTGATCATAGTCCTGCAGTATGATTTTCATACATACTAACCCATATATTCAATAAAAAATTTTTTTTAAATTTTATAAAAAAATATATATATATTAATTAACAATTAATTAACCAAATTATAAATAACTGTTATTTTACCATTCCTAGAACAGCATGATAGACATACAATCAGTATTTTATCGCAGTCAAAAAAGAAGGTATCAAATAAGAAAAGAAGGATCTTTGTGTACTATATCTTAACGTGAAAAACTTCAATAATACCAAACTCAAATAGATCCTCGAAACTCTCTATAATATTTGTGATGAAACAATAAATAACTTGCTTAGCATAACTTTAATATGTGACAGATTACACCAAATATATAGTATTTTAAATTACATTTTTGAAAATGATCAACAAATGATTGTTGCATGTGTTACAGACAACTTTTTATAAATTTTCAAAACCAAACCTTAATAAACTTATATTTAAACTTAAAAATTATATATAGATGCATTTTTGCTTGTTCTGCAAGTTTATTTAAAGTGACTTGTTGGGTTTTGCAGTATAATTTGACTTAAATGCTTTTTTTGAAAAATACGCCACATACTTTAAGCCATATAATCAGTATAACCTGTCATACATTAGAGGTATGTACTTGCTTAAAGAATATTCTTCCAATTTTGCTGCTAATCGTAAAAAATTCAAGATGAAGTTCCATTTCAAAAGGGATTTTCAACAGTCTACCACGGTCTTATCAAAGCATTAAGGTAAATCTCGTAGTGAATATTCATTTCTTCCTAAAATTAAGTCATCAGAACCTCTTCTAGAAAAACTTGAATATTATATTCATCTCATTATAAATCGGCTTGGTGACCACTTGAAATACAGACTGAAAACCAAGGTCCTATATTTCAAAAGGTTTTTATCTATTTTTTATTATTATTTATATTATCTATTAAATTAAAACTTCAATTAATTATATATTTAATAATTTAATAGGAAGGATCAGGCAAAAATGACATTGGCTGAGTTTACAGATTATGTCATGCATATAAAGCAAATTCATGAAAAAAAAATAAGCGAAAACGTTACAGGTAAAATTTAATTAATTAATTAATTATTATTTTATTTACTACTTTTAATTGTAGATTACGTCATGTTATATTACGAATTTACAAGAAAATCCGTTGTCTTGTGAATGATTGTCATTATAAGCTGGCTAAATGGCTTTATGAAAATTATCGTATAATATTACTATCTGAGTTTCGCACTCAAGAAATGGTTCGACGTGGGCAATGACACATTGGTTCTAAGACTACTTGAGCCATTGTGTACATTTTCGCTTTCGACAGCATTTGATCTATAAGTCACGTGAGTATCCATGATATCAAATAAATCTTTGATAGAGATATAAATGGATCTCATAATAATCTCTTACGAATATTCCCTTAGGGGAGGACCAGAATTATGTCATTTTAAAAGAAGGGAAGGGGCCACAAATTTTATATAAGTTAATTATAAATTTCTTAAAATGGATGATGACAAGGGTCAAAATTTCTAAAATCTTAATGACGTCCCTCCCTTACAGGTTGCCTAATTTAAACTTCGCTTAATGTGGGGTTTTGTTAGTTTTAATGTAGGCGTCATACTAATCTACAAAAATTGTAATATGTAGCGATAATGTGAAAATTATCACATTGATTAGTAAGAATGATTTCAATAAAAAATTTATGGGAATCAACCATAATTTTTCTTCTTATTTTACATATTATACTCAAAATGAAATGTAAATATGCAACGTAATGCAAAAAAAATTTATTGCTTTCTGTTCTAGGGATATCATAGGAGAGAATGATTGCATTTTATAACAACTTTTAGAAATGTAAAAATTTTAATCCATAATAAGTTTTCTAGAAGAAATAGAAAAATTGTTTAGTTTGACACCCATTTCGGTACCATCAAACCTAATAATTTGTAAGCTCTTTTTGCTGAACCAATAGTTTTATAATAATTATGTACTCCAAAATTAAAAAAAAAAAATTAAATTCAATGGGATGAAATTGTATTACCAGAAATCTAATTGAGAAATTTGTGTTTACTTGAATATTTTAAATATTTGATTAGAATAATTCCAAATAATGAATTTCAATAAGATAAAGGTTCCTAAAGAATATATAAGGGTAAAAAAAAAAAAAAAAGGAGAAAAAATATGTGTATATTAATCGTGACAAAGTATATATATAATACACGTAAAAAGTTTGTTTGCAAACAAAAGTTATAGATTCAAGATAGATATGTACGCATAAAATCGGAAACAAATAAAAATAAAAATAAAATAAAATAATTATAAGAAATGATGAATCGAAAATGTTCAGACTATGTGATAATAATAATAAAAACAAGAAAAAAAAATATGTATATGTATATATATACTACAAACAATAAACCTTTAGTGGGTTTTGTGATGGAACAAAAATCTATCAAATTTTTTCCTCTAAAAATTAGGCTAATGAAAAATAAGAAAGCGGCGAATAAGACGGTATACAAACATACATGGAACTGATCCAAATTTAGCCCCCCTTTACCATGAAAAGTTGTCCATACCTATACCATAAGTCCATAAAGTAAATAAAATAATCGTAGAAAAATAGGTATGAAATTAGGACGCTATACTGAATTATTAAACATATCTTCACCGTAATCTGATCCAGCATGACTACCACCAGGACTTGTGCAATAAATCGAACTGTTAGCATCCATATCGTCATCTGACAGATGTGCCATTGGTGAACCCGGCGAAGGACTTGGTGGCAAAGGTGTGTTTACAGCCTGATTAAAGGAAAATGTAGGCGAAAGTGGTGGTATTGTATTAGACAATATTGAGTTACCCAAAAAGGGATTTCCAGGGAGTTGAATGTTCAAAATACGATTTGGACTTCTATGTGGACTGTTTTGACTAGACGATGTATGACTGGCTAGATCAGTGTTTACCGTCAACGGCGTCGAAGGACGCTGTGGAATTTGATGCACTCCTTGTTGTGATGATAATTGGTTTAGGAAGAGATTTGTCATATTACTGTTCTCCGGTGATGTGATATATATCGGTGGTCGGTCTGGTTCGGATTTGATGTCATAACTTTCTAAGTTCAGTTCAAATGGAACTTTTTTTTTTTAAAAAAAAAATAATTAATTAATTATCATTATTAATAATATATAAAATATAATTATCAACGACATTCCAATAAAAACTCACTTGTCGTCGCTGTCGACCCTTGATTATGCATGAATTGCCACATTTCTTTCATCCAATGATGTTGCAAACTCTGTTTTCGTTTCGTATCTGACAAATCCCTCATAACTTCGGTAAAATTTTCCTGTAATTGTCTAATTTGTTGTATTAATTCATTTTGAGCAACTTGCATCATAGCAAGATGTGCATGTAAATCTCCTGTTTCTCGTCGTAGAGTTTCTGACTCCATGGCTTTTCGTTTGATATCATCTAATAAATCTGGACGACCGCGCAAAAATTTTGCGTGAGAAAATTCCCAAATTTGATTTTCTGCTAATGTTCGATGTCCACGTGGTGATTTATTCACTTTATGAAAACCGTACCTAAATTAATAACATTAATTAATGAAAGCATTTTGAAAAGAATATAAAATAAAAACTTGAAAATTAAAACAAAAAACTGTCAAGGGTTGGAACGGAGAGAATAATAAAGTAGCTTACATATTTAACTGACGAACAAAACTAGAGAAATTATTGTGTTTAAAATGTTTTGGTAGAACGTCACGAGAAAACTCCATAATATTACATACTATGAAGGACGACCCGGTATAATTCCAAGCAATAAGATGTTGATACTGTTTATCAACAACCATACTGAAAGATCAGAATGTGTATTGTTAGCATATTTATAAAAAGAACGTTTAACAAGAAAATAAAACGGTTAAATTGAAGCACGATTAGCCGGTTACATTTCAATTACCTTTTGAATCTTATGCAACAGCCTCAAGTTTTTTTTTTAAAAAAAATTAACTTACTTGTACAGCTTATGAACAAACGTGTTGCTACTCATCTTGACTGGTTGTGAAGGAGGTTGAAGCGTCATGAGGTTTTGATTTTGGTACGGTGATTGTGCTGTGCTAGTGGGAGTTGTAGGTGATGAAGGTGTTGATAGTTGATACGCGCTCATCTGTATAAATCTATGTTAAGCTTCACCAGTTTACGAAATTCTACTAGAAAGTTAATCGAAGAAAAAAAATTTTCCCCGTTCTTTTTATAAGTTTTTTATAAGGATATTTCTGTTACAAAACAAAACTGTTGTATGATGTAGCACCGTGAGCTGGTGCCTACCAAATTGAGAACACGAAATTCAAGTCCCGGAGAAATTTGTCCTGATTGGTAACACCATGTTCAAACAATTTCGCACATTTTTTTATTAAAGTTATTTAATCGACCAGCTCACCAAGAAATCAATTTGTTTCAATTTTTCAGTTCAATAATGTTTTTTTCAGTATTTTTCAGTATTTTTGCAATAAGATCATCGTACCCATAATGTTGTATCACCATAAAAGTGACTTGTGGTTCGCAATTAAATATCTTCGTCGAAAGACGAAATAGATTTTCGACGGATCTCGGATATGACACAAAAAAAAAATAAATGATCTTACTAAATTTGTAAATGGTTTACATATGAAAGAAAATTGCTTTATTTTCATTGTTAAAAAAATTTTTTTCCTTTTTTTTTAAAAAAAAATTATCTAGAAATATATATTTCATATTCTGAATGATGATTTTCTTTGTCTCCATTTATTTTTTATAATCCTTTATTATAAAATATCTGTCTTATTATATCACCATTTTTATCCTTTAAGTTCCAAAATTGCTGTTCTAATTTCATTGGATCTATCACAGCATTTTGTGGAAAAGCAGCGATAGCCAATGGCAACGCAGTCAATAATGTTACCGCTATAATTCCTATAGGAAAAAAAATACAAAAAATTTAAAAATTACAGTTATATTTAAAAAAACTCGTAATCTATATAATTACCAAAATTAAATGGAAGTGAAAGTCTTGGATTCTTTTTTAATAAATTAGTTTTTTCAAGTTGAGATAGAACGAGAGGTGGAACAGTTAACACGGGAGCAAGTGTTAAAACTCGCGAGATAGCAACCTGTCCAACAGCTGATGCACCAGCTTTCTTTGATTTGCCTAAATTCATTCCCTCATTATCATAGACGTCAATTCCGTCTCTAATTTCTTTCATTCTCATCAAATAAACATTGACAGTACCAGCACTGGCAACAGCTACAAAAGGAACTAATCTTGCCAATACTCCACGTACAGATGGCCTTAAGAATGTAAGTCGCGGAACGGCATGTGTAAGTCCAACCGCTAATCCACATGAAGTTGTCACAGCCGAAATATAAGCGACTAACGATTTGAGAAATTAATTAACGTTCTGTAATCTCTTAAGAGATAGACTCCTTTACACTTACTTGCAGTTTCTTTTAAACTCATTTCAATGGTCTTGTTAGCATTAGAATAATTTATAGCTACGTTGATACTTTGATTTGCCCATTGCCAAAATATAATGTTACCTATCTATAATTCTAAAATGTCAGCTTCTAGAATCCTTTTTTTAAAAATCAAATTTCATCTTTACTCTTAAATAAGGAACTATCTTACACTTGGATTAGGCATTAGCATGCCAGCTACAACAACAAGATTGGTTGGGACAAATGAAGACATTCTGAACGGAAGAAAAACGGGTTCTCCTGTATCCGAATGAATTGTTGATTCGACAACTACCAAAGCGATTGTAATCTAGTTAAAATCCATTTTTTTTTTTTTCTGGAATTGTGTTAATGAATGGACTCACTTTTCTTTGCATTCCATAATTTTTCCGGTTCCACGTTTTGTATTTTACCGGAATTATAATCATTAATTAATGATTTTGCTTCTTCAAGGCCTTTTCTCGACACAAACAATGTCCTAACAAGGAGAATTAAGAAGCCTAAATTTGTTATCTAATAAATTGACTAATCAAATCAATTTAATTTGATATATACCTCGGATCGGTAACATTAAAAAAATGCTTTACTCGACCCAAATATGTAGATTGATCATATCGAGATTTCGCTACAAAAATTTACGAAAAATTTATTAAATTCATTTTAAATTTTTATATTCATGATAAATTTATAACCTACATAAATCAATTTTTGGTGCTGTTTCTATAATATTTGTCATTACTGATGTAAATTTTCGGATTAATCTCGAAAAAATTTTTGGTGCTTTATATGAAAAACTGTTACACCAGTTCAGTGTAACGCATGACGCTTCAAACTTATTACGAGTTCATTCTATTTCAAAGGCAATTGGATCTCTTTCCATAAATTATATTCTAAAGTTATAAAATATAACTCTTTATTTGGACATAAAAATATTATTATAGTCCATATTTAGAGTCGGTTTTCGGATCAGCAATTGAATGAATAAAGAAAGTCTTTATACAACTAATGATCGGAAATTAAAAACAGGTATTATAAAGATAATGATTAGAGGTTGTCACGTGAGCAGGTATTGAGTATGGTTTTTTATACCATTTTTGTAGGTTAGTGTTAGGTTAGGTCAGTTTAGTATAAAAAAAATATACTTAACATCATTCATGTGATATTAAAACAGATCTCAAAGTGAAATCATTTAAATCTTTAAAAATTATCAAAAGCATTTTCTTCTAAATTAATATTTATAATTAGAAAATCTATGAGTTTAGAAAGTTAAAAAATTTTATTAAAAAATTTGAAACTTAATAAGATTAATTGATTGCAAAATTAATGATTTAGATATTTTATAATTATATAAATAATAGAAATTTGTAATTATTTTAAATGTAATAATAAATATGTTAACTATTTTAATGATTTAATATAATATTAGGATTATTATTTATTTATTTTTTTTTTGACAAAATAATTAGAATTTTATTTTTATTTTTTTTTTAAATCTAAATAATCATTTAAACTAATTTAAAACAATAAATCTTAGATTTAAATTTTTTAATTAATAATATAATTTAATAAATTAAATTAGCTAATATTCTTTGATTTTGAATTAGCTAATCTTAAAATAATCATGATTGATTTATTGGTTAAAATTATAATTCAATAAATTATAATAATAAAGAGATACAGATTTTGAAACACAATCATGATTATCTCAAGATTTATTTATTTGAAATCAATAAATATTAATAATAGTTTTTCATAAAAAATAAGACAATATTGATATATTTTTATTTTAAGCTTTTTTAATATGAAAATTATTTAATATAATTTTAATTATATTATTTTTTTTAACTTTAGCACTTTTATTTTAATTCATGTATAATCTAATTCATTTAAAAAATTTTTTAATAATCTCTTTTTTTAATACTTTGCAGAAAGCTGATGATTTGCAATTTATTTGTCATAAGATTGACCTAGATTTATATTGATCATATGACCATATATTACTTTGGTAAATTCGTAAATATTTTGTTAACTTTTAAATTATAAATATTTTCAAAATAGTAATAAAGTGTAATAAATAAGGTTGCTTATCTAAATTTATTTTGGATTTAGCAAAATGGTTAAACCTTTAGTTTCGCTAAATTTTTACTAAGTGTTTAATATAGTTTCGCCATTTTTATAAGCTTTAATATAGTTTTA